ACACACACACACACACACACACACACACACACACACACACACTGACACACACACACACACAATCAATCAATCAATCAATCAATCAATCAATTGATTGATTCATTGATTGATTGATTGATTGATTGATTGATTGATTGAGTGCGATTGGTTCGTTGATTGATTGATTGATTGTGCGTGCGTGTGTGCGTGTGTGTGTGGGGGGGGCAGTGTTTTTCCACTAAAAGGGCCTTTACCCGATATAGGCCTCAGGCCTTGTTAAAATCAAGCAGCACAGGCCTTGAAAAAGTAAAGCATTGTGAAAAGGTATCTCGCCAGGGCTCAGAAACGTGAAAGCAGGTCAAAGGTCAAGTTCTCTATCAACCGGCACATCTAAATCTAAGGCAAAGGGCATTGTCAAAGGACTTACCTGTTCACCAGGAGCTGTGTATGTCATGTCTGTTCGGGTAAGAGTGTGTCTGTACGTGCAGACAGTGTACCTGTTCGTGCAAAGGAATGTGTCTGTTCGTTTAGAGTTGTGCCTGTCCGAAAGTAGAGTCAATAGGCACAGTCCCAGTTCTGGTCTAAGTCAAGGGGTCAGTCCAGATCCAGACTTTGAAATCCAAATCTAGGCTGAGAGGCCTCAGCAGCAGTCGAACCTCATTGGGACTACACTGGGACACATGCAATGCAGGGTCTGGGACAAAGGACAGGCTGAATTGAGCCAATGCAGACCCAGCGAGGAGTGGCCAGCACTTTAAAGAAAGCTGCCAGCCTCATTCCTCGCCAGATCTCCACTGGCTTGAATGCGTGGAAGTGCTGGTGCACTTGTGCGTTAGTCAGTAGGAGTAGCGCTGGAGGAAGGAAGATGCGCTAAGAGGGAAGAAGAAGACTGTGCGCTGGAAGGGATGCAGCCATAGCTGCCCAGCGAGTTAGCATTAGTAGTAGAGGGTTAGTATGTAGCTATGAGTAGTATTCAGAGTAGATCCTCATGAGTGAAGGGCGTGTATGCATCGTAGGAGGAAGGGACTGAGGCTGCGAGTGTTCATTCAAGGTTCGGCTATGGAAGATACTTACCTGAGTTGGGTGTGATCTGCGGGGGTGGCGCTGATGAGTAGTGACCACGTTGATGACTTGGAGACTATCTGCAGATGTAGCGCTGATACATTGGAAGCCATATTGATGAGTTGACTCGAGATTGGTGTTGCGCTGATGAGCGCTGGACTCAGGGGAACTTTGAAACACTTTGTATTCATAATTCTGATAATATAAGCTGTGAAACTCGGTCCTCTTCTTCTCTACCTTTGTCTATGGATGAGACAATTGATCACTACGTGTGAAGATGATGCATGACATGTACACATCTGCGTGAGATGGTCCCCAGGACCCATGCMCCACCGGCCCAACAAACTAAAAAAAAAAAAAAAAAAATCATCAGCAGTTTTATTTTTTATTATTATTATTGTTTTTTTAATTTCGATGTGCTTTATTTATTTTTTTCCTTTCCTTAAAATGTTACCAAAAAAAAAAAAAAATCACAGGCGTGTAGAGACTCTTTTTATCTACACGCCCATAATTTTTATTTTTATTTTTTCCCATTTTTAGGCCCTGAAAAAATTGTTGGGGGTTCTTGCCCGCACTCGGCCGCGGGCGGTCGGCCCCCGCAGTTGGGACCGCATGCGGTAAAATGGGCGGCCGTCATGAACGCGGGTGATACATAGGTGCTGGTCTCCTAGACGCGGCAGAGGCGAGAGCGACAAGCGGCGAGCGACGGGAAGCAGGGAGCATGCGAGAGGACCACGTGGCGGTGGCGGGTCAAGGCTCGTCGACCACGGAAGTTCGAGGGCGGCGAATTTCTGTGCGTCCGGATGTATAAGGGCCCAAGGGAGGGGAAAGAAAGGGGGGGGGGGGGGGGGGGGGGGGGGGGGGGGGGGGGGGTTGTGAGCTATGCTAGTTGCGGTCTATGAGGGATTGCGTCACACGGGTGCAACGCGGAATGTGGGGCTTAAGCGGGTTATCATGGTTTTTAACGTGGGTGTGCAGGGTGGGAGGGTGGGAGGGTGGGAGGGTCCTACAAGGGGGCTATCATTGGGGGGGTCTAACAGGGTTCAAAGGAAATTTAAGGGCCTTTGCACGACCCAGCGAGGTTCAGGGGTCTGACCCACATGGCCACCGCCGTGACAACGACCTGCGCAAAAAAAAAAAAGAAAAAACCTTTTTTTCCCCTCAAAAAGTGTGTAGTACGCGTGCGTACAACGCATGGGCGCCCGTAGTATGCCCGTGTACAACGCATGGGCGCCCGTAGTACACGTTGTACGTGGGCGTACCTCGCGTTCAACCTGTACAATGGTGCGTCCAGACGCTGTCATATATTTCCGTAATAAAATTAAATGCGATCGGGGGTAGGGACAGTGACAAAAATGAGACAACTACGTCTGAGTATATGGTTTGGGTTTCGAACTGGCAAAAAAAACACTATAAAGAGTTTATTTGAGGCGGCAGTCTGGAATAAACAAAAATAGCCGTAACTTCTTTTGCCATTTTTTCACTCGGGCCCTGGTGTCCCTGTAGTTACTACATCTGCGCTTATTAGGAAGTGTCGTGGCTTTTGTTGCCTTCTCGAACTTGGTGCGTGAGTGACCGTCCGGTACAATTGTTTTTGCTTATATTCGGAACAAGGCGAGTGACCCTCTAGTACCTTCTTTTTTTTGCTTATTCGCAACCCACTTTCGTTCCGGCATCATGATGGTCGGCTCGAAAAAAAACCGTCGCCCTTCACCAGTTCTTCCACGTGGTTGGGGCTACTGGTGAGAATACCCCATCGATCAAACTCAAACTCAGGATGTGCACTTTTTCTACAAAGCTCTCAACATGCTTGGGGTCATACTCATCCAGACCTGGCCATTATCGTTGTCAGGTATGTCATCACCCGAATAGAACACCTGGTCATAATCGCTGCATCTGGACTGAAAGTTCCCATACATACAGCTATAA